AAAATTTTAACATTTTTAAAAATTTTAAAATTTTAAAAATCCTTAAGGATGAAATGGAATGTATTGATATTGACATAATAGTCATTGGCATTATGAGATGGCTCAGCATAGGACATTTTGAATGAGACAATCATATGATTTACTACATCAGAGATGAAAAGATGAGAAAAAAATGGAATCTCATTCATAGTTAAAAAGATCATTTCCAATCCATCTTGAAACACAATACTGTGTGCTCGCTTTGGCAGCACATACACTAAAATTGGAATGATAGAGAAGATTAGCATGGCCCCTGCACAAGGACGGCACACAAATTCACAAATTCATGAAGTAAAATGTTGTGGGCAATAGGATAATATCCATACACATACAAGGAAGACTAGTTAACACCATTGTCATTCAAATGTATGCACCAACAACCAGAGCCAAGAGGTTGTTGTTGTTGTTGTTATGTGCTGTTGAGTTGTTTGCGACCCTATGTACAACAGCCCTAAGCCCTGCTCTGTCCTGTGTCGGTCTCACTGTCTCCGACTCACCTCCCCCATTACTCCAGTCACTGAATCAATCCACCCTATAGAAGGTCTTCCTCTCCTACACTGTCCCTCAACCCTCCCAAGCGTGATGTCCTTCTCCAAGGACTGGTCCCTCCTTGCAACATGTCCAAAGTATGTCAGACGAAGCCCCAGAATCCTTGCCTATAAGGAGCAGCCTAGTTTAACTCTCTCCAGGAAGAATCATGGTATATTCAATACTCTTCTCCAACACCATAACTCAAAGGCATCAATTCTCCTTCTATCCTCCCTAGTCATTGTCCAGCTCTGATGTAAAGCAAGTGATGACAAAGACCATGGCCTGTATCAGGCTCACCTTAGCCCCCAGCATGACACCATTGCTCTTCAGTACTTTGGAGAGGTCCCTAACAGCAGACTTTCCCATTGCAATACATCTTGTAATTTCCTGGCTGCTGGTGCCAAGAGTGTTGACTCCACATGGAGCCAACACAACTAAAAGCTGTTAATCTCAATCTCTTCACCATCCATAATGATGTTACCAATTGGTCCAGTGGTGAGAATGTTTGTCTTCTTGATATTGAGCCTCAATCCATATTGAAGGCTGTAGTCCTTGACCTTCTGCAGCACATGCTTCAGGTCTTCCTCAGTTTCAGCAAGCAGGATGTGTCATCTGCATAACGCAGATTGTTGATGAGTCTACCTCTAATCCTGATGCCACATTTCTTCTCATAGAGCCCAACCTCCCGAATAATCTGTTCTGCATATAGATTTAAAATGCCCAGAATTAGCAAGAGTGTCAGGAAGTAAAGCCTAACATACTTTGGGAAGGCATGTAAGTTGTTTCTATTTATTTAGTTAGTTTTTAAAAGATGATAAGAGAGTATTCCTTGAGCTAGCAATTCTACTTCTAGGAATTTATCTGTCACATACTCAAACATGTAGACCAAAAATATTGAACTATATTGTTCATTATGGCATTGAATCATAAACAGTGGGAAGCATTTATAAAGCAGATTAAATGAAATATGGTATAGTGTTTGTTATGTATTCCTTAAAAGGAAAAGAATAACAAGATCTCCAAAATATACTAAATGAAATAAACATACTGCATAATTATACATAAAATATAATCGAATTTATAGTCTTAAAATAAGTATGTGTTAAATAAATTTGTAAAAGTTTAGAAATACATTCCAAACTTTCAGCAATGGTTCCCATAGAGGGGAACAGGAAAGGGAAAGGATGCGTTGGGACAAAAGAGAATTCTCATTTTTTGTCATTGTTGTGTACTGTCAAATCAGCATTGACTCATTGCTGACCCTCCAAACAGTTTTCAGAGACAGTAAATAGCACGAGAAGAGATTGCCCATCCTTCTGCCACAGAACAACTGGTAGATTCAAGCCACATGCTTTCTCAATTGCAACACACCTTTTTACACTTTATATTTCTGTGTGTTTTGTCAAGAAAACAAAATCCTAACCACTGGATCAATAGACAACATTATAATAGATGAAGGAAAGATTGACATTGTCAATAATTTCATTTTACTTGTATCCATAGTCAATACCCTTGGTGCAAGCAATCAAAGAAATCCAAAGACGTCTTGTTGCATTGGAAAAATTTGCTGCCAAGGACCTCTCCAAAGTGCTAAAGAGCAAAGATGACAGTTTAAGGTGCACATAGTCCAAGTTGTGGTCTTTTAAATGACTTCTGATACATCTGAAAATTGGACAATGAATAAGGATGACAGAAGAATAATTAAAGCTGTTGAGTTGTGGTGTTGAAGAGAACTGATGATTTCGTGGACTGCCAAAAGAACAAATAAGTCTGTCCCAGAGAAGTGCGACCAACCAGGGTGCTCCTGTATCAAGCATGATGAAACTTGGCCTCACACACTTTGGGCATTTTGTCAGGAAGAGCTAGACCTTGGCAAAGAGTATCATACTGAGAAAGGTGGAGGGTCAGAGACAGAGAGGAAGACCGTCAACAAGACAGATTGACACAGTCACTGTAACAATGGGCTCAAGCATATCAGAGATGGTGAAGGTGGTGCAGGATAGAACAGGGTTCAGATCCATTGATCACAGGGTTATCATGAGTCATAATCTATTACATGGCACCTAACAACAACAACATATTTATGTGTTACTGAGCATTTATGGTTGTAAATGTTGGTTTAAGTGTGTTTGTGAATATGTACAAACATATATGACCCATTTGAAAAAAACTACATATATTTATATAGTATCATGTGCAGGAATGTAGATTAATGAACTTTAAATGTTAGTATCCATCATTTCTCATTTGAGGGTTTAAGTTAATGACTTTTTTGCTTATTTGTATTTCAACTGTATACAAAGGATATGTTGCTAATGCTTATAGGGTTGTTAGTTAAGTGTAAGGAAGTTAAGTTATGGGTCAGGTAGCTTATAAGAAACAATATATAAAAAATTTTAAAAAGAAGCAATATTAATGTTTGGAAAAGGTTCAACTTCATAATAGTAAGCTCTCTAATTATAAGGCAGAGAGTTTTATGACCTCTGCTGATAATTAAAAGGCTACACGCCAAACATACTTGGAAGCTCTATGGGGAAAAGACTCATTGATCCACTTCTGCAAAGATCACAGCATAGAAAACCCTACAAAGCACTTATAGTCTGAAACGTGGTGTTGCTATGAATCAAAAATAGACTCTATAACAACTAAAAACATTGTCATTTATAAGCAAAGGACAGACATTGCTATTTTTTAAAAAAAGAATATCTGAAGAGAAAAACCAAAAATATATGAAAAATGGTTTAGCATAATCATAAAATCCTTATTTCTAAAGGACAGTTTAACACAAAATAGACCTTCAAGAACAACAATAACTATCATTCTCTGCTATTATTAATACTGAATATTCAACGGACTTCCCAAAGAACAAACAGATATATCTTGGGGCAGGGGGGAGTACAACCAGAAAATTCCTTAAAGGTGGTGAAGCTTTGTCTCACATGTTTTGGGCATGTTGTTAAGAGAGGTTAGTCCTTGGAAAGAACATCATGCTTGGAAAGGTGGAGGGTCAGCAAAAGATGAAGACCGTCAACAAAATGGATAGACACAGTGACTGTGTCAATGGGCTCGAGTGTGTTTGAGATGATAAGGATGGTGCAGGATAGGACAGAGTTCACCTTTGTTGTTCATAGGCTCACCGTGGCGATTTAGTGGCACCTAACAACACAAGAGCATGGAAGTTGGTAATGGGACTATAAGACTATATATAATAAGTATTATGACTTGACGGCACATAACAACAATCATATGTAGTTATGGAAATTACTTAGCAGAGAAAGTTGTTGAATCTTGAAAGTAAGAACAGCATTGCACAATGATGAGGTACTAGAGTTCCAGGAACATAAGGCATCTCTGAGGACATGCAACAAAGGGCATCCTGCAAGAAAGCTGCCAAGGATGACTTGTCCTAGAAGCAGTCTGCTTCCCGTAACTCTAATGGCAGCATGGGAGAATGAGAAGATTCAGCATTTTCCACTGGTGACTCATCTTAAGCTAGACTTCCTGAGAACTTGAGTATCAAAACAAACTAATTGTTTCACTCACTATCTTAGGGATAGAACAACAAGAGCGAAAGTTTGTTGGAGGGAAAGTATTCCATGTCAAGAAGAGGAGCACCCAGCCTATATTCCAAATCCCTATCACCTCTCTCTCCTCTCTTTTATCCATCACTCCCTTCCCACAAGTCTTATCATTGAAGAGACACAGACTCCAGACAGCAGCCTTTAAAAGGTAAAAGTAATCTTGTCTTTATATTTTGAGAACACCACATGATTTTTATTGAAGAAGACGGGAAATAAACAATCACTTCTAATATTTTGGTGCGTTGTTGTGATTGTTGTGTGTAATGGCTGACCCATGGCTGACCCTCCGGGGGGTTTTCAGAGGCAGTAAATCACATGGGAAGAAATTGATTGCTCATCTTTTTCCCTAAGAGAGCAACTGGTGGATTTGAACTACGTGCCTTTGGGTTGTAGCGTAACTTCTTACCACTAAGCCACCAGAGCTCCACATTTTTGTATATGCTCATCTCTTTTAACATTTCTGATATCATGTATACTTCCATGTACATTTTTTATTACTTGGTGGAAACTAATAATAACAATCTGTAACATAAGCATTTACTTTGGTTTTATCATTTAATAAAATGAATTTTATTAGTAGTATGGGCGTATAAACAGAAAGGTCTTAAGAAGTGCTGAGGCACAGAAGGAATCGGTACAGTCAGTCATCCTAGTCCACTGTGTGACTTTCAGAAGAGTGCATCAGGACTCACGCAGCTGACTCTGACAGAGTTCTTTCCCTTCCCTGGAACCGCAGCATCCCCTTGGCCTCCGAGAGAAATTCAGTCCAAGAGACACCAGATTCTCACCTCTTCAATTCTCTTCCTCAGAAACAGTTGAAACTAAATATTGTTCTGGTAATCTGGGTACATGTTTTCTTCCTCCTGGCCTTCTGGGTGTTTGAGAAGTGAGTAATTGATTGTCTTCTCAGCCTAAAGAAAGCAGAAAGGAAGGGGCCATGGGATTCCCTGAGGAGTCAGAGGGGGCTGGAGAAAGGAGAAGGAAGATATGGCTGGGGCAGCTCACCTCAATTTTAGCAGCATCCTCGTCATTAGTAAAATTGGCTGTGGGCAATAAGAACAAAGATCAGTCAGGGTACGGTGTGTGGCCCACACCTCACCTGGAAGGGGCCTTACCGCCCCATCAGCTTACACCCACCGCATCCCAGACACAGCATCTGCCCTGACCCATCTCACTGGCAAAGGGAAGCAGTCATCCATGCCACATTGTTTTATGAAAATTGCTAAGCACTCCCAGAAGTAAACCAGGCAGCTTCAGAAACATGAGACATTGGGGAAGAAGAGGAATCAGTATCAGGGTGGAGTTAAGTCCAAATTTTTGCAGACCACAAACTTCAGGAGAGAAAAGACTATGGAGAATTTCCAAACAGGCCGAATGATCTATGTTGGAGCTTTGAAGGATCTGATACTTACTCTTTGACATTTAAAAGGAAAAGGGAGTGAGAGAGTGTGAAGAAAGAACTTTCTCTGGTAAATCGTCAGAGCACAACAAATTCCCAGCATCGTTTTACCAGTAAACTCTTTCACTTTGCCAGTGTGAAAAGCAGCTTCAGTATCTGCAAATCAGCACCCTTCAGGAAAATGGGGAGGAGTCTAAGACAATGCACCTATTCTCTTAACTTATCCCCAGGACACAAAGGGTCCCTATTTACTACCATCAGCCCCACCACCTCCCATGCCCAGCTGCCTTGTGAAATGTGTTCATACCAGTATAGACAGAAGCAAATATCAAGCCAATTAAACTTGGAATTTTATCTACATCAGGTTTGAGCACATTGCAAGCCCAGGCTCATATTCCTACTTGGTCTGGCCAAGGGACACAGAGGCCTTGCTCAAAGCATAACTAGACATGTGCTGCTTTGCTCAAGCTCTCAAATCTGTTGGCTCTGCTCTGAGTCATATTCCAGTCACCCGATGTGCAATACTCAATGGCAACTTTGCCCCATCCCTTCTGCTTGCTTTTGTTGTCATGCCCTCAGAGAAAAATTCAGGTTCTTCCATGCTTTGATTTTAACTGCAGTCAGAAAATTGCCCAGAATTACTCCTTTTCTTTTTATAGCACTTCTGTGTGGATCAGGAATTGTATGGCCACATAGTTTCAAAACTCCGGGCATGGAAGAGATTAGAGTTCATCCTCACCAATTTATTTAGGTCCTCAGGGGGGTGACTAACTCCACAAGGGGAAGTGGTCAGCTCTTAGATTCACTTGAACTGTGGTGACAGAGCTAGGACCAGACACAAAGCCACTAACCCAACACAAATGGTCATAAAAGCCAAGTTGTTTTCTCCAATGTAAAGCCAAGTAATATCCCTGGCGCTGTAGAACATTCTCAAGCCCAAATCACCTGTTAATGTTCCACTAAGATTTAAATTCTGCTACCTGCATGGAGATTTTTCCTAGGTTATTTTCTCTTCCTCATAAAATTCTTCTCCCTTAGTCTCATTTTCCCCGGTCTTATTCTCCTCCTCCTTCCCCGTGGCCCTTTGTGCCAAAGCCCTACAGAAAGATCCAAGTAGCTCTAATTTCCTGCTCTGGATATGGCTCCAGCATCCCCAGTCCCAGAAATTCAGACACTGCTTCACTCTCTGGACACAAACATATGCTTGTGTTGTCTCCAGAGAGGTCCTCTGTAGGCCTAGGAATTAGACTCAGAGCTGGCCAAGCAATTTGAGCCCCTGCCCTCATCCCACTGCCCCTGCATCTCTTGTACTCTCAAATGAACTCACACAAACTACTTCTCGATGGTTCCAATCCATATGGCAGCCCTGGGTGGGGCATGACTGGTCCCCCACAGAGGCTGTACTCACCTGCTTCCTCAGGGAGGTTCTCTCCCATTTCCCTGTGCTCAGGGTTTCCTGGGAGAGCTAGGAGGGGCACATAGGAGGTTAGTAGGATTATGGACAGGGCCTGAGTTGTCAGGGTCAAGGAGTAGGTTAAAACCAACTTAAACTATCCTTCTCACAGACATTTCCTTTCTTCCCCACTCTGCAGCTCCCTAGGCGCTGTTCTGACCTAAACAAGGACTGCTCCAGAAAGAAAAAAAAATTGGAATTATGGGGATTCCTGCGAGTGATGGAGGGACCACGAATGGACCTTCTTCAGACTTGCTCTGTATTATTAAAAAAAACAAAGAATCTTTTTTCCTCCTCTCAATAGTATTCTTCCATATTGGTAGGGAATGGCAAAAGGAAATGCTAACAAAGCAAATCAATCAGAAACTATTCTGGACAATGATGTGTGACTGTGGCAATGTACCACAAGGAAAACGGACTCATCCTAAAAAAAGAAGGTAGCCGAAGAGCAGATGTCCCAAAGGCCACCAAAGATCCATCCAAGCTGTGCACTGCCATAAATTAATCAAAAGCTGTGTAATCTTGACTTTCCACTCGAAAACAGATACAGATACATATACTCATATGTATAAACTCCTATGTAAGATGAAGATGGGTTAGTTCTATTCTGACACGTTCATAGTCTATTATGAATGTCTAATAAACCTCTGTTTTTTCACTTGCTCTCGCTCAGCACCTTTTTTTGGTGGTGGTCTATCAAAATCTGACACCTGAGTCAGAACTTTCTAGGCCTTACTCAATGAAATCCCTGAACCTCTTTGAAAATTATCCCCCTTGACAATGTCTCTATATTAACTTCTCAGTAGCTGAAATCCTAGCTACTTCAGAATGGATTGCAATCTTTTCTGTAAGGTATTAGTAGTAGTTTGGGGGTTTTGATTTGGGTTGGGGTTGTTGTTGTTCTTCTTTCTTTGTGGCTCCAAGTCTTCCCCCCTACCCCTTATTCTGTCTGCAAATCTCCTTATCTTTAGCACTCATTTGTCTCCAGTACGAATTTTGAATTGTGATGATTTTCTTAGTAGGGTACCTTCCTTTCCCTCTTCTCTCTTTCACATTAAGGCTAAGGAGGAACAAAGCTTCCTTCTAAGAGAGAAGTTCTTCCAATTATTAGTCAATGAACAGATATTTATTGAGCAACTTCCTGAGTACAAAATACTGTGATTGGTGCCAGGGAAACTGGGGTGAAGGGGAAAAGGAGATTTCTGTCCTCTGCCCTCAAAGAGCTTAAAGTCTTGTGACCATCTCTGGAGTCAAGCACAGACTCCACTGGTGACCTCCACTCCAACTCTGGTGTGCCTCATCTCCTCTCTTTCTGTTTTGTGGTTGATTGTAACAGCATTCGATTACTTACCACCTTCATTTCCCTTCCCTATCCTAGTCATCTAGATAGAGGATGAAGCTGGAGAGAGGATGAAAGACAGCCAAGCGTTGAGGACTCTCCTTCATAGGGTCACTATGAGTAGCCTGCAACTCGATGGCACTTACCAACAATAACATCAACATAGAGAGAGAGATCATCTGGCCCAGTGGGCAGAAAGCGATGCTACTAAGTCAAAGGTGGGCGACTTTTAATCCGTGGCCCTGGGGCCTGTCTTTCATTGTTTTTGTTCAGACATTCCTCTAGGTCATATAGCCCTGGTGTACAAATTGCCTTATAGTGGTAACTAGTGGTTGCTGTGAGGCTGAACACTGTGACACTGATGTGTCAAAAGTGTTAATGGTCAGTTACCCAATGCGGACAGAGAGTGAAATGGAGCTCTCCAGTTAAAACAAGCTTAGAAGGAGGAGTGGCATCCACTTCCATAATAGCTTGCCTCTGGAAACCCTATGAACCTGGAGAGAGGATGAAAGGCACCCAAGCATTGAGGACTCTCTTTCACAGGGTCACTATGAGTCGCCTGCAACTCGATGGCACTTAACAAAAACAACAACAATCCTAGTCACAGACTCATTTCCACACTTTCAATCTTCATGGCTGGAATACTCTTCTAGTCTTCTCTGCTTGTCTAACTGCCATCTCCAATTATCCTTTCCTCCATAATGTTTAAAGTGCTTACATATATGCTCTTTATACCATTCAAAGAGCCCTGGAGGCATAGTACATTTCCTGTTGGATCGCAAAAGGTCAGCAGTCCAATTTCGCCAACCTCTCTGGGAGAAGAATGGACAGTCTCCTCCTGTAAAGCTCTATAGCCTCAGAAACCCAGTGGAGGGTTGCTATGAGTTAGATATGATGGCCATAGGTTTGGTTTTAGCTTTTTGGTTTAAGGTCCTTTTGACACAGTGGTTAAGTGCTGACTACTAAACAAAAGCTTGGCAGATCAAACCCACCAGATACCTTACAAGAGACAGACTTGGCAGTCTGCTTCTGTGAGGCTTTACAGCCTTGGAAACCCTTTCAGGCAGTTCTACTCTGTCCTACAGGATTGCTGTGATTGAATGGACTCAACAATGGGTAGGCACTACTGATGCCCTGACATCATTCAAACTAGCAACTCTGAGATGAGTCTAATAGTGTCCTTATTTTCCAAATGAGGTAAACAGAAGCACAGAGAGATTAAGTGACTCACCCAAGGTCACACAGCTGTGAGCTAAAGAGGTGAGGCTTGAATCCAGGTTGTTTGATATCAGCATATATTCTTCAATTACTACACAATACAATACTTCCCCTGCCTCATGAAACCTTCTCTAACTGCCCCACTGGATGCTCAGTTTTGTGACTTCTCATCACAGCCTTTCCATTTCCTTATCATTATTCTTACTCTGTCCAGTTATTATTATCTATTTATGATTCTATCTTCTCCACAATACCATATACTATAAAAACCTTGAGAGCAGGGATTGAACATCTCTGTCTCTGTCTCTGTCTCTCTCTCTTTCATTGTTTTTGAGTGGGAACCAACTCATAACTGACCCTCCAGTGGGTTTTCAGAGGCTGCAAATCACATAGTAGGAGATTGCCCATCTTGCCAAACACACAAGCAATTTTATTCAATGTTTGTTGAATGAGTAAAATATGGAGCTATATAGTGGAAAGCTGTGATTTATCTATTTCAAAGGCAGACGTGCTAGTAAAGATTGGGTCTAGGATCTTGCCCAAGTAGAAATTTTAATAAGAGAGGCCAAAAGGAACCACAAACCTGAAATTCGTTTTCTCTTGAGGTGGAACAAGGCTACCACAGCAGCAACAATGACTATTACCGCAATCCCAGAGATCACTCCTGCGATGATCACCTCCATTGAGGAAGAGCTCGCCTTCTTAGACCCTGGGGAAAAGAGAGCTCAGAACAGGCAACACTATTCCTGCACCATCTTCATCGTCCCCATCTTCCTCCAATGCTATATCCCAGTGCTTGTCACCTGTAGCTGTTTTCTGTCGGGGTCACTCATAGTTGCAGCAAGGTTTATAGAAACCTTACCTGCCCAGAGTCTCTGTAGCTGGGCCTGGGCCTTCCTTATACCCAAGTATCTCCACCAAACTCACAAGGACTTGGCATAATGAGGCGTGTGCAAGGGCATAGGTGGGGTTCCTTTCGATGCTCAGGGTAGCAGTGAGAGTAGAACTAAAGACTCAAGAGCTACTACTATATTAAGCAAATTGTTGAACTGGCCAGGACACACGAGGCCTTTGGGAATGAATGGAGTTAATTCAGCTCTTAGGAACGTCCAGCAGCTTAGAAAACCACTGAGAAAGTTCTTTTGTTCTTAATATGGAGCCTGCATTTTAAAAAGGGACAACAGCCCTGTCCCTCTTCACCTCAACGTGTCAGAACTCGGAACTCGGAGCCCTACCCTTGTCTCTGGCCAATACTCAGTAGTAATGTGTCCACATCTCTTCTCCTTGGCTCTTTGTCCAAGGGCCCGGTTTTCCAGCTGAGGCATTTCTGAGATTCACGTAGGCCTATATCACTTAAGCCCTAACCATCTACCCTCCCCTCCCGCTTCCTTACAGTTTTTTCCCCCTCATTGCTACCAGTTTGGGGTTGTTTTTTTTAAAATGTTTTAGGTTTTGTTGAGAATATATACACAGCAAAACATATCAACTCAACAGTTGATATTCATACAATTCAGGGGCCCTCATTACTTTCCTTGAGTTGTACAACCATTTCCCCTCCCTACACCCTGAGAAAGTTCCCCCTACCTTGGACAGTGATGGTCACATTGTGTGACTGGTGAGGCTGATTCCCTAGAAAACCTTTGCAGTAGTAATCTCCACTGTGACTGTGGTTTGCTCGTGGGATGGAGAAGTTGGAATTTTTGGGATAAAACTTCTGAGACTTCCCATTCTGGAAGAACGTGACCTTGTACAGGGGCTTGCTCTTCCAGCTGTGACATCTCAGCACAATGGAGTCCCCCTCCTGAAACACCAACTGAGAGGTCTGGAGTAACACCCAATCTGTAAGATACAGAAGGATCACAGGAACCATAGCCCTTTAATTAAATTCTGAGACTCAGATCAGCCATTCTGATATACGGTGGAAAGAAGTCAAGTTTGGAATCAGACCAGATTGTTGTTGTTGTTGTTGTTGTTGTTGTTAGGTGCCCTCAAGCCAAGTACAACTCATAGTGACTTTATGAACAGCTGATCTTTTTTTTTAGATTTAAAGCTAATTTTCTCTTTATTCAATATGGAGGCACACTGGATAATATTCTCAACAAAAGAAATAAAAGATTATTCTGGCCATTTCCTTGACTTCCAAGGATATGACAGTTTACAGCATGATCTCATGAGGTTATCACTGATGCACCTTTTTCACCAGTTGCATCCTGGAAAGATGAAAGTCTTCAAGCATCTTTGCCAGACTAATTCGAGGTGCTCCATCATCTGTATCACTTTCTACAGGGATGGTGGAATCTCGGTAAATGTTGACATTTTTCCTAAGCGTCTCATCTTTTTCCAGATCTTCAAGGAAATTTTGGTATTGTCTTTCATCATCTGTATCTGTGTTTTCCCTATCTCTAGCAAGCTCTTTCAGTTTCCAGTTTCTACGACGCTGACTTTTGGTGCAGTCATAACTCTTCTTGATTAAGACCACATCTGGGACCCATCGTATGTTAAACATGCACACAAGAATCGTGGCAAAGAAATCCTTTATGTACTCTCTTCTCTGTCCCTCTGCCATGAGCTCGCTGGCTACCACGGAAGGATACCACGTCCGGTCCAAGGGTCTGAACAGATGATCTTAAAGCTGTCCCTATTCTGTGCCATCCACCTCATCTCTGATACATCAAAGTGCATTGCTGAAGTCACTGTGTCAATCCATCTCGTTGGTGATCTTCCTCTCCGTCATTAACCCTCTCTTTCCAAGTGTGATGTCCTTGGCAAAGGAATAGTCTCACCTAGCTACACAAAGTATAAAATACAAAGCTTTGCCATTTCACCTCCTAAGAGCACTCTAGCCACACCCTTTCCAAGACATATTGTTTGTTTTTTTGGCAGTCCGTGGAATATTCCATATTATTCTCCAGCACTACAACTCAAAGGCATCAATTCTTCTGTCATCTTTATTCCGTTTCCAGCTCTCTGATGTGATTGAGAAGACCATGGCCTGAATTAGATGCAGAAATGCCATGCCAAAAAGAATTACTTGATACTGGTAAACTTTCAGGAAGTACCACATGAATAAGAGCCTATAGTAATGAAGTATGAAGCTCAAGCTTCAGTAAAGGCATAAGCAAAAAATAAGGTCCCAAGAATTGATGGAATACCAATTGACATGTTTTAACTAACAGATGCAGTCCTGGGTGTGCTTATCAGTTTATGACAGGAAATTTGCAGGACAGTTGCCTTCCCTACTGACTGAAGGGATCCATATTTGTTCCCATTCCCAAGAAAGGTGACTCAATAGAATGTTGACATTATCAAACAATATCATTAATATCACATACAAGCAAAATATTGCTGAAGATCACTCAAAAACTACTAGAATAGTACATTGACAGAGAACTGTCAGAAGTTCAAGCTGGGTTTAGAAAAGGCCAGAACACTAGGGATATCATTATGGATGTCAGATGAATCCTGTCTGGAAGCAGAGAATGCCAGAAGAATGTATGCTTGTGTCTTGTTGACTATGCAAAGGCATTTGACTGTGTGGAATGTAATAAATTATGGCTAACATTGAGAGTGGGAATTCCAGAACATTTAATTGTGCTCATATGAAATCATGGCTGGGTAGGACTTACAAATGTGGGATGCTTGTGGCTCGACCAAGGAATTAGGTAGCTTCCTAATAACAGAAATAAGGTAAATAGCACCTTTGAAGTGGAATATGTAAATAAAAGATGTGGTGTTGTTATGTGCTCTCCAGTCCACAAAGACTCTCAGCGACCCTATACACAATAGCTCTGAACCCTGCTCTGTTGTTTCTGTTGTGTGTCATAGCATCAGAACCAACCCATAGTTGATCATTCAGCTGGTTTTCAGTGGCAATTAATCACATGGGAGGAGATTGTCCTTCCTTCTCCTGCAGAGCAGCTGATGGCCTCAAACTACATGCCTTCAGGATTGCAGGGCAGCTTCTTGCCTCGAGGCCATCAGAAAATCCTGCTCTATCTAAGAGGCTTCATCAGTTTACCATCTCACTAGACTTAACTTGAGTAGGTTCAGAAGTAGAAAATAGAAATCTCACAACTATCAAGAAAGAAGAGGCAGAGAGTGTACTACGTCCTTTGGGTCAGAGATTCCTGTCCTAGGCAGAGGCTCAGACCAGTATCAGCAGCAGAAGAAGAAGAAGAGCAGGAGGAGAACCAATGACTGGTATGAGACAGAGCTGAACTGGAACTGCTGCCTCACATAGCTAGAGCCGAGGATCTTCATCTAGTCTTACTGGTGGAATGGGGCAGGGTTGAACTGGAGGAGAGTAAGAACATCATAACCAGAAGAATTAAAAGAACTTTGTGACGATGGCTGTGCCCAGAGCCTCCAGACCAAACTCAGAGCCATGAAGCAAGGCACATCTGAGAAGAAGCTGTACTGACTGAAAGATTGTATGCTTGGTGTTTCTGACTTGAATAGTAACCAGCTACTCCCCTGTAAGTCCCATAATCATGAATATTGTTGATGCGTTCCATGTGGTCATTGCAATGAATTGTGGACCAAATAACATTTCGAGAGCATGGGAGGGAAAGCTGGCATTAAAATTGACAGAAAAATGTACGGGGAGCATGAGGGGTTTGTCTGGCCTCATGGCAATGGGCTTTGTGCTGTTGACATTGTTAATGGGATCTCTATCCCCTTGGGGAGTTAGTGAAAGCCAAACACTGCCACCCCTAACATTAGCTGCATTGTTTTTACGATGCAGTGGGTCCATTCAGACAGAAAAGATGCATGTGAAAAGGACACAGAGACAGACATCAGAGATTTATATCTTTGGGGAAGTAGAACACTATGGACATCCAATAAGCAGCCTAATTGATGAATCTTGGTAAATGTGAAGCTTCATGTCAACAGAGTCTTTATCTGATGGATAAATAACCTGATGCATATTTTTTAGAAAAGTATAGGAACCAGGTAAAGGACAGGGGACCAAGTGAAAAGGAAGGATGATAATATCCATCTTAATCACCTCATCACTTCACTTTGTGGAAAGTAGCTACTGTGTACCAGGAGGTTTATGCAATCATTGATCTGTTCAGTCAACATTTATTAAGTTTAGCCCTGTGTCAGAGGCTGGAACTGCAAAGATGGATAAGATACAACTTTAAATTCAAGTTGCTTATGCTGGTACAAAAGAAAGACAAGGCATACAACAGCAATGAGCATTAAGAAGGGACACGAAGAAGAGGAGAGGCGGCAAGGGAACAGAGACTCAGGGGTTAAATAAATTTGTCTTGACTGTATGGTTAGTAACTTCAAGAGCTGAACTCAGCCGTGATCTGACACCAGCCTTGTGTTTTCTTGCTCTACCATTAGAATCGAAGGGTTTTATGGATTTCCTTCTGCTTCTCTCACATGTTTGTGGTCTTGTGATCTCTCTCAATCAGGACAAAGCAAAAACAACCATTAATATAGTCTGAGGGATTTCATTGACACTTCCACCCTCACCACACATACTAAGAAAAGGGATGGTGAAAAGGGGAAATGATTGGGCAGAACGGCTTCCAACAACTCTCAGCCATGCTTCCTAAGTAAACAGCCCACCCCACCCACTTTCCTGAAAACCACTGCAAAGTAAGCAGATTGCCTCTCCCCTTGTCCTCCCAGCCCCTCCAGGTTGTCCTCCACTCACCAGAAACCACTTCCAGCTGCACTGGGTCGCTGAGGCTGGTCAGGGGTGTCTGACACCTGTAATCTCCGCTGTCATCCAAGGTGGCCTTAAAGCGGTAGCTGGGCTGGACCCCAGTTGGCATAAGGCTCCCTCTGTGGAACCACTGGGTGGAGTGGTTACCCGGGATGTATGCCCCGTGGCACTTCAGAGTCACATAGTCCTCCCTGAGCACATTGATCCACGGGGGCTCGATGTTCACCACCGCCTTTGGAAGATCTGCTGAGGGGCAGAAAGAAGGGAAAGTAAGAGGCATGGAGACTGAGCAGGCAGGCCCTGAATGTCAAGCAAAGGAGCTTCTGTGTTTCTAGTGAAGGCAGTAATGGTGGAGCCAGATCCAGAACTGTTCTGCAACTGAAGACTATCCTTCTTGCACATCCACCATGAGACCGGGGCCCCCAGGACCTCTGAGGGAGCTCCACTACTCCTAGTAAGCAGAATAATATAACCCATGTGTTCCAGAGTTGAACTGTGTTCCATATGTTTTTTTCAGGACCATAATCTTTGGGAAGTAGCTCAATTGTAATTTCTTATTTTAACCACTTGCATCACCCGGGGAAGAAGGAAGTCATGTTTGGAAAGGTGATTGGACAGTGGAGGACAGGAAGACCTTTAAGGGAATGGATTGACACAGTGACTACGGCAATGGACTCAAGTGTGTCAGAGATGATGAGGATGGCACAGGATAGGACTGGATTCAGATCTGTTGTTCATATGGTCTCTATAAGTTGTACCTGGTTCAGCGGCATCTAACAACAACAACGGAAGATGTGTATATAGAAAGAGATACTTTAGGTATATATTTTTAATCCCCAAAGGTTATACTAACCACTTTTCCCTCTATCTCTCATTCTCTCTCCTTTATCTCTCCTGTGCTTGTGTGTATGTGTGTGTCTGTCTTTCTCTTATACGGGCACATACACATCTCACAAATAACACTCTGTTGGGACTCAATTGTCTCTCCTATAGAGATATTCTACCCAGAGTTGAAAAGTTGTGCATCTGGTGGAGATGTCAGGCTTGGGAATCAGATAGCAGCTTTTTGTTCTGACCCAATGTCATTCCTTATCCATTAGGAAGGAGGCCAGGATGGCCCTTCCTCCCACCAAACACAAAGTATCCTCTGTGTCCTCAGAAGGACAAAGAGTGGGTGGAGTAGAGAGGCTGACAGGCAAGTCTAAGACCATCTGGTCTGAAGTCCTTGCAAAATAAGTGATACAGATAAAGACAGCAAAGTCCATTGGGCCAGAGGCACATCCTCTCTCTGTGCAGGTCAACAAGCCCTGAAGTCCTCAGATCCACGCAAACCAGAAGAGTTATCAACACGCAAAGACAACCTAGGCAGACCATGTGATTTTGCATGAGTAGGAATCAAAATTGCTGAGCTCTTGGTTTTATTTAAGGAGCGTTGGTGATGCCATGCGTTACATGATGGGCAGCTAACCAGAAATGTCATCAGTTCTGATACACCAGCTACTCCTAGAGAGATGACGAAAGGTCTCCAGGAGTCAAAATTAACTTATGGCAGTGGTAGGTTGGTTCGTTTTGTAGACTGTAAGGCAGTTAGACAAGAGAACAGAATTCTCGCTTTGTGTGATAGTAGCTGTGATAACTCACTAGAACAGAACCAGAGGAGCAGAAACACCCATTTGTGCATGTGATGGCACATTACCTGCCTCCCTGGGAGAGGTGGAGGAGGAGAAAGCAGGGGAAGCAGGTAAGGGGAGACGAGACAGAGAATAATTCTCCTCTGAGAATAATTGTCTCTCCTTGATTTCATTCCTGAGCTGCCAGCAGGGCACTGGGAACAGAGGAGGCAGAAGAGGAGTGCTGTTAGGGGAGGGGGGAGGATGTGGGTTGAACACTTACCAGATGTGCCAGTAACAGGAACTGTAAGAGAGAAAACAAAGGAAAAAAATCTGAGTCTCAGTACCCAGACATCCCTGCCTAGACCAAGAGCTGGAAGGCACTCCATGTCCCACCCACCCACCCACCGCTTCCCCATAGCAAGGCCTTCACTCAGCATCTCCTGTGATGCCCTGGATGAAAAACGACTTTAGAACGATTAGGGTGTTCCTTCCCTAACAACAGGAGAAAATAAACTCAAATTCTACAGAGCCCTCTCCCATCTGTTTTGTTACACTCCTTTGGTTTAGTGTTTTTGACTGCTTAATTAACAAAACGCTTCTGAAAGGAAAGCCCTGCCCAGCTTCACATATGTGACACTTCAGTGTAACAATTTGGTCACAGTCTAGCTTGAGAAAGAATTTGTTCTTTTGTGAAGGAGAGGTAGACATGTATTGAGTGGATGATTACACAGGTAATTCAAATCCATCATCACTATAGAAAATAAACATGAGCAAATATTTTTGGCACAAGTCCATTGGGATTTTTAATGTGAAAGCTTCCAGATGGTGCATGCATTTAGGCATATACAAGTCACAAACAATGATATGGCATAAAAATGTCCTTTAATCTGATTCCCCCCCCCCATTGAGCAATATAAGGCCGAATAGTTCAATTTTTTTTCTATGCTGTCATTTTTCATGACTGTGCAGTATACCACTGTTTGCATCTTCTGTGATTAATGTAACATCTCTATTTTTTTGACATCTTGATGGCAACTGTTTTTTTTTTTCTGCTATAAATACCTGCCAGGATAAGAAGAAGGCTGCAAAAGGACACTGAACATGTACTTTAAGGTGAAACAAAACGAAATGTCACTGGATGTGGACAAACTCTTCCCAAGTGCAAACAAATCTGTGCTAGGAAGGACCAGGTAGGCTGGATAAAAGTGGGAGATGGTGGACCTGGGAACACCATTACTGAATGAAGGAGTCCCTGCACTCTGCTGCTAACTTAAAAAGTTAGTGCTTTAACCTATTTGGAGATGTCTGGGAAGAAGGGTCTGGTGATCTTCCGAAATGCCAGAGCCTTGAGCTCAAGGGAGCACTGATCTACCCTGTAACACAAGATGTTAGCTGAGTCCCGGTCATTCCTATGGCAGCAGGTTGATTGGTTGGTGTTATTATTGGGTGAATTGGTGAAGTTATATCCTTGGCTGAATTAGAGCCCTCTGTGTGTATACGTGCATATGGGGGGTTGGGAGAATCTCATATGTTTGTGCTGAGAGAAAGGCCAGAAGCTTCCAAGTATGTACAGATCTGTAAGCACAGCATAAAGTATAGAAAGAAATTGAAGCTGGAGGAAAAGTAAAAAAAGTTATTATAGGGAAAGTCTTGGCTTATGGTTTTGGAGAGCTTGATTCTGGTCTTGATTCTGCCATTGTCTATATCCATATACTTGGACTAATCACTTGGACTACTACTTTTAATCCAGTGCACTTTAACAATTGTGCATGGGCTTTCTTTTGTCCTACAATACATACTGAGCCCCAAAAGGGGAAAAAATCTCTGCCCTCATTGAGTCAACACTGTTGATTCAATTTATCATTGAGATAAACACATATATCATCAATTGAAAACAATTAAACTGTGCTTAATGTCAATTAGAAGAGTATGGATAAAATTCTATGGAGTTTTAGACAAAGGAAAGATCCCAAGGCACTGTATTTGGTATGGATTGACAAGAAAGTGACTTTCATGAAAAAGATGATATTCATCATAGACTTACAAGAACCGATAAGATTTTGACAGACTGAGAAAAGAAGACTGTATTTTATGGCAAGGACCAACAAGTACTTGATAACATTACTTGTTTTCAAGGATTGTCATTATTGCATTACTAGTTATCAGGATAACATTACTAGTTATATAGAATTGCAGTCCAATCTGTACTTGGATTCTGATCGCTGCTAAAAACACCTCCAAAAGCTAAAAAGAAAACTAGGAATCATACTCAGGAGGGTTCCAAATGCCAGATTATGCAACAGTAAATAAGAATTAAAGCTATGTATAGACACTGATTCCACCACTTCAAGGTGGTCTTGCACAAATTTTCTTCTCTGTAATTCAATTCTTGAGCTAAAAACAGGGATAAAATTAGTACCATTAGTACCTTCATGGTGCTATTGTAGGAACTGAATGAGATGAGCTAAGTAAGGTATTTATCTTACTTGCTCTCTAATGTATGGTAAAATTTAAAAAATATAAATGTAAAAAACAATCTATTCCTTAGTTTAGTGGGAAGTCATACAATTTTTTAGTGGAAGCTGAAAATGCCATGTCAAATGGATTGAAAGCAGGAAAATATTGAAGAGATCATTTAAGAAAGAATCCATATCAATAATCTAGAATCCATTTACCCACACAGTATTTGACCTCTCAGTACTTTCTCTTTTCCTTCACTAATCTCCTATGGAGTTTCTTTCTTCCATATGTCTTAGACACATATGCTCATGGTTTTCCCAAGATCTTGGCACCACTAGACACTGAACTGCCTCCAGAATCAAACAAACCCTGCTTGTTTAACTACAACCTCCTCTCCTTTTAGTTCCTCTCCTCAAGTGTCTCCATTATAATTATCTTTGACAATATTAAGAATTGAGCACTTTCTTCAACAAGATGGAAAAGTCATTTCCAATTTCACCTGGAATGGAAAAAGACCCAGAATAAGCAAAGCACTCCTTAAAAAGAGAAACAAGGATGCACACCAATGTTTATTGCTGCCTTGTTCAGAATAGCAAAGAGTTGGAAACAAGCCAAGTGCCCATCAACAAATGAATGGATAGAGAAGCTGTGGTACACTCACACAATGGAATATTATGCAACACTGGAAAACAAAGAACTCATGAAATATTATACAAAATGGGTGACTCTGGAGGACATTATACTGAGTGAGATATCTTAGTCACAAAAGGACAAATACTGATTCCATTGTTATAAAACAAGACTGACATAGGGGTTGGGGAAAAACTAAGAAGAGATAAACAATGTATATGTAATTGAAACAGATAAGAGAGAGAACTATATAAAACGAATATATGTTTAGCTATTCTTGGAATGTCATGAGTCCAGAATAAGAGATGCATAGTAAAGTGGATGGGGTGGGGAGGGGGGCTTTATAACAGTGGAAGAACTTTTTTTCCAAAGAAAAGAGTGAAGGGGGGGCGGGGACAGGGAGGAAAACACGCAATAATGAATAGATTGAAATTCAAGGTCTTTATAAACTTCCTTTTAAAAAAAAATCACAATTTAAAAAGAAGGGGGAAAAGGAACAAGGTAGTAGGCATCACACTCCCCGATTTCAAATCCTGCTACACTGCCATGGTGGTCAAGACAGTGTGGTTCTGGTACAATGACAGGCACATAGATCAATGGAATAAAATTGAGAACCCAGAAATCAGCCCATCCATCTACAGTCAATGGATTTTTGACAAGGAGATGAAATCAGTTAAGTGGGTAAATGACAGCCTTTTAAACAAATGTTGTTGGCAAAATTGGAAAGCTCCCTGCAGAAAACTCAAGCAAGACCTACACCTCACACCATACACAAAACCAACTCAAAGTGAATCAAGGACCTACGACTAAAATCAAGGACTATAAACTTCATCAGAGAAAAGCTTGGAAGAACTCTAGAAGCCCTAATCCACAAAATGAACAGTCTTCTAAGCATCCTGAAAAACCTACAACCAGGAGAGGATAAAATAGATGAATGGACTGTCTAAGAATCAAATCCCTATGCACATCAAAAAACTTCTCCAACAGTCATGACATGTCTGATAAGGGATTTATATCTAAAATTTATAGAATACTCGAGCACCATAACAAAATAAAGTTAAACAACCCAGTCACAAAATGGGCATGAACAGGATATGAACAGACACTTCACAAAGAAGAAATTCAGATGGCGAACAAACATATGAAGACATATTCAAAATCCCTAGCTCTAAGAGAGATGAAAATCAAAACGACATTAAGATATCACCTTACCCCAGTAACAAAAGCAAAAATCAACAAAGCAGCAAACAGCAAATGCTGGTGAGATTGTGGAGAAATTGGAATCCTTATTCACTGTTGGTGGGAGTGCAAAATGGTGGAACCACTGTGGAAGGCAGTATGGCGCTTTCTCAAAAAGTTGGAAATACAGGGAGCTCTGGTGGCCTAGTGGCAAGAAGCTGCAACTACAATCCCAGAAGTGCATGGTTCAAATCCACCAGATGCTCTGCCGGGGAAGGAGGGGCAATCTCCTCCTGTACCAGTCAGATCTGATTTGACGGTACACGCACACAAAAATAATTTAATAAAAAATAAAAAAAAAGTTGGAAATAGAAAAACCATTTGACCCAGCAGTTGTGGAAATATACCCTAAAGAAACCAGTACTGCCACCCAAGCAGATGTATGCACACCCATGTTTATTGCTACATTGTTCATAAGAGCAAAGAGATGGAAACAATGCAAGTGCCCATCAACAAACGAATAGATAGAGAAGCTGTGGTATAGTCACACAATGGAATTCTATGCAGCACGGACAAACAAGAAACTTATGAAATATTAAACAAAATGGGTGGCCCTGGATGGCATTATGCTGAGTAAAATATCTCAGTAACAAAAAGGCAAATACTGCGTATTGCCACTGTTGTAAAACAGGACTGGGGTGGGGTGGGGAATTGTACAATAAAAGATTTTTTTTTTAAAGAGAAAAGCGAACTAGTTTGGGAGGTGGGCAGGGAGGAAAATATGCAACACTGAATGAATGGAAATCCAAATTCTCTATAAACTTTCACTAAAATCTCAATAAATTAAAAAATAAATGAATATATACATACATACATAACAATGCTAGGAACATAAACACAAGCAATCCCAGGTTCTTGCACCTTTTGTTGTTGCTAATTTGAAATAGATCATTCATATCTAACATCAGTTAGTCAAGTGTTAGCCTTATATATAATGTACTTATTTGTACATTAAAAGAACACTTTCAGATA